TTTCTTTCTTTCTTTCTTTCTTTCTTTCTTTCTTTCTTTCTTTCTTTCTTTCTTTCTTTCTCTTTCTTTCTTTCTCTTTCTTCCCTCCCTCCCTCTCTCTCTCTCTCTCTCTCTTTCTTTCCTTACTTCTTTATGAGACACACAGCATGAGTGGGCAGAGGAGTAGAGAGACAGACAGAAAGACCGAACTCAAAGCAGGCTCCAGGCTACGAGCCGTCAGCACAAAGCCCAATGTGGGGCTCCAACTCAAGAACCATGAGATCGTGACTTGAGCTAAAGTCGGACACTCAAGTGACGGAGCCACCCAGGCGTCCCTGTTCAAAATCACTTTAAGAAAAGAGTAAGAAAATGCTTTGCCTAGCAATTTGTTTCTAGAAATTTTATCCTAAGGAGGTACAAAAAGACACAGAAGGATGTTTATTGTCCGCATGAGTAAAACAGTGAAGAGGCAGATACCGCAGTATGCCAATAAGAAACCAGTGAAATAAGCTGTGGTATGTTGACACAAAGGAATTCTAGGCAGCCATGAAAAATGTTGGTGCAGAGGGGCACCCGGGTGGCTCGGTAGGTTGAGCACCTGACTCTTGGTTTCGGCTCAGGTCATGATCTCATGGTTTGTAGGTTCGAGCCCCACATCAGGCTCTGTGCGGACAGTGCGGAGCCTGTTTGGGATTCTCTCTCCCTTCTCTCTCTGCCCCCCCCCCCCGCCTCAAATAAACTTAAAACAATTTTAAAAAATGTTAACGTGGGTGGACATTTATTAGCACAGAAAGATGAGCATAATGTATTAACGGAGTTGTTTTTTTTTTTTTTAACTTTATTTTATTTTGAGAGAGGGCCCAAGTGAGGAAGGGGCAAGGAGAGAAGCAGACAGAGAATCCCGAGCAGGTTCTGCTCTGTCAGTGCTGAGCCCAATGCGGGGCTTGAGCCCACAAACTGTGAGATCACGACCTGAGCTGAGGAGGTGAACGCTTAACCAACTGCGCCACCCAGGTGCCCCAGTGTGTTAGTGAGTTTTAAAAATAAGTTATTGGGGCGCCTGGGTGGCGCAGTCGGTTGAGCGTCCGACTTCAGCCGGGTCACGATCTCGCGATCTCGCGGGATCTCGTGATCTCGCGGTCCGGGAGTTCGAGCCCCGCGTCGGGCTCTGGGCTGATGGCTCGGAGCCTGGAGCCTGTTTCCGATTCTGTGTCTCCCTCTCTCTCTGCCCCTCGCCCGTTCATGCTCTGTCTCTCTCTGTCCCAAAAATGAATAAATGTTGAAAAAAAAAATAAGTTATTAAATTGTTCAGAGAAAATACTTATTTTGGTGAATGACTATATGTATACATATTAGAAGAAGTCTGGAAGGATCTAGAATAAACCTGCTTAACACTTCTTTTCCAAGGCCAAAGAATTCTAGGTTGTTATGTTTTCTTCATTGTGTTTATTTCCTAAATTATGTATTGTAAACCTAACTTACTAATACAAATAAAAAACTTAAATCTACCCACAATGTGCTATGGTAAGAATCTGATCACAACTTTCTCTCTCTTCAAGTTCTGAAATCCCTTAGATCCTTAGAAGAAAAGACATTTAAATACTGCTTGTATTCTAAGTCAATTAGGAAAAAAAGAACCATGATAAGATTCTACAACTGTTCTCTTCAAACTCCACTGTTGATACCAATCATCTGGGATATCTGTTAAAGTGCAGGTTCCCAAGCACCTGCTGCTGTGACATCATTCTACAGAACTGGGATGGGGCCCAGTGGTGGGCATTTCTGACATCTCCACGGTGCTGTCCCAAGAGACGCTGATGCAGGTGGCCCACTTTCAAAAGTACTGGTTTCAAACAATGACCCCCTAATAAAAAAAAAGTGGAGGGAGGCAAAATAGTCACAGTGGGGCATTACCACCTCAATTTTAACTGTCATTTATCCAAGCTAAGAATTCTGAAAGCCAGGGACATTCGTTGACTTCGGAGCTGGACCAGAACCCACGTTTCTTAATTCTGTCCGTGAATCAACAGCACCAGTGCCCTCTGCTAGCACTGCGGGCATGGGCCTCCCTCGGGGACTCCACAAACCCACCTTCCTCCCCTGCATACATAGGCAACATTGAATGCAGCCCTCCAAATCATACTTAGTGCCCTTTTGACCTAATGTGCTCCCCCAACATCAAACAGGAAACGTCTAGAGCGCCTCTGACTTACTTTAAGTGAAGTAAACAACGCAGGGCCTTTGCCTCTGTCCCTCCTTCTCCAACCCCACTCATCACTGTTGCGAAATTACTGCAGTCACCTCCTCTCCCACGTCTCAGCAGTTATAATCCCCGAGTGCCAGCACACTCTTCCTGGACAAACACTCACTAAGCACGCTCCTATTCAAGAACCAGTGAGGACTTTTACAATGCAAATACACCAACAGTTTTTTATTATTACTGAAACCACAAGCACATACAAAATTAGACGCCAGCAGAACAAATCCTTGCGTGCCCATTAAGGGCTTCAACAACCGTGGGAGCTACCTGGCCTCACCTAGACTCCTCCACCGACACTCAGGATTACTGGGATGCAAAAACTAGAGGGCTTACCACTCTCATCCATAACTATTTTAGTATACGTTCCTAAAATAAAGGGCTCTTAAAAATAATTACAGCATTAAAACTTTCAAATCTAAAAAAATTTTAAACAAAAGCTTATTGCAGGGGCATCTGGTTGGCTCAGTTAAGTGTCTGACTTTGGTTCAGGTCATGATCTCACCGTTCGTGGGTTTGAGCCCCGCGTCGGGCTCTGTGCTGACAGCTCAGGGCCTGGAGCCTGCTTCGGATTCTGTGTCTCCCTCTCTCTCTGCCCCTCCCTCACTCTCACTCTCTCTCTCAAAAATAAATAAACATTAAAAAATGTTTTTAAAAAAGATTATTGCATATTTGCTCAGTATTCAAATTTCTCTGATGGTCTCTCAAAAAACTTTTGTAAGGTATTTGAATTCAAATCTTTGTCATAAATTTCCACTGGCTACTCTGGTTTTTAAGTTTTTGGATCCATAGATTTCTTTCTTCTTTTTAACCACATCTTTCAAAAAATATTTGTAACGTGAGGTATAATTTCAATAGAAGAAAATGCACCACCATGTAGTCTGACGAGTTTCGGTACATGCATACACCTGCATAACCACTTTCCTCCGGAAGATACAGGACATTCCTAACAATGGAGAAAATCCACACTGCCCATGCCGGCTTTTGTGGACAGTCCGCCCACCAGAGGCCATCGCTCCTTCTCACCAGAGCTCAGATGTGTAGACAAAGGCTTCGGAGAACTTCTCCCGTGCAGGGCCAAGCCCTCAGGTGGGCATGTGAGGGTCCTTTGTAATGAACGGGTGGCTTCATCTTGCCTGTGGGAGTTCTACTGCTCAACTATTCCTACCCTCTAGGTGTTCACAGTGCTCGTGTGATGTAATCACTCCCACCTCTGTGCCCTTCTTTACTAGACTATTCTACAGGCCTGGAATTTCAGCGACCTTCACCACCTGAACCCTGACCATACACCTTTCAAGGCTCGCCAGGATTCTATTTCTAGAGCGTCTTTCCTCTGGTGCCATCTCACAGAGGTCTCTTTTCTCCCTCAATGTCCTGCAGCGCTCGACCGTCCAGACCAAAGTATGCCCATCCTCTGTTTTACACGTGTCTCGTCCACGAGCACGCCAGCTCCTGGCTCCATGCTATACTCTTAGCTGCTGTCTCCTTCAGGGCTGAGAACAATG